GCTCCGAGCGCGCGCTCCTCTCTTGCCAACATTCGTACATATTCCTCTACGTATGCTCCGGACGGGACGAAGATAAACGGGTGTAAAATTCGATACACCCGAAATAATAATGCGCTCGGAGAAAGGTAATACATATCTACGCGCCGGCTTCGAGGGGCTTGAACGAAACATGTGGGACTCGTCCGCGGTTGAGCTCGCAGAGGGGCTTCGCGAGCTGATCCGCGATTTTCCCTCGATCGCGACCGAGCGGAAGCACCGGGGTACGACGAGATTGCCGAAGAATTAATTTCTTTTTCAATAACAGTTTCGTGCCTCGCTGCGCACCGACGGTTTGGGACCATGAACACGACTCTCGGACTACATTCTTTGCGGCTTACGATCATCCGCCGGAAGTGGCCGGGGAGGCGGGCACATCAACGAGAAAGAAAGAGACGGGACAAAGAATGATTTACCTGAGCCAAGGCCAGCATCAAAGTTTAATATTGCAGGCACGATACGCGTACCAAGTATACGGGTGTAGAGAAATATAATAGTGTCTGTACAGCTTTTAATTCGACCGACTACCAAATCATTTCAACGTTCCGCTATTTCCGAACACTTCCCGCCGCATCTTCTCCGTCGTTCAACGCGCGTTATTTCCTTTTGCGAAATTTTTTGCCCTAATCACTACACAATGTCCGCGGAAATTATATTATACCGAATTAATGATACACGAACGCTAAGATTAATTATGTTATTATGGACTATGCGCTATTACGCGGCTACCAAATGATATAATAACAACCGTCCCTTCCCATCAACATCCCCGAGAGGTACTTAAAACAACTGTAACTCAAACCGAGATCACGTGAGACTGGCTCGGATAATTTAAACGTAGAATTATTAGTGAAAATTATGCGGATATCCATTATAATCATTGCGTCACATCTTAATTTTCTTTGCGCATTTCGTAGCTCCACATAATAATATATGACTTTAAGAAAAATAAGATACAATAAAATAAACATCAATGATATGTGGTTTTTCAAAAACGACCTACACTGGCTAATGTTTTTAATTAAAAAACAAACGACATCCCGAATTTGGACCCTTTTAAAGTAATCTGCAAACGTACATGACACTAAATATTTTTAAAAAAGAGTCACTGCACTTTACCTTGTTACGAATTAATAAATGTCAAGAGATACATAAGAATAAATATTAAATAAATAAATAAACTGACATATTGGTAAAAAAATGATTGCACTCCTTGGCTGAAGAGTGCAGAGTCAACTGAAGCTGCATTGTTAATTGTACGACACGAGTAAAAATATCGAGAGATAAAAATAAATATCTCAAGACAAAAGAAGGCATGACGAGGCGAAAATAAAAAATAAGTTATACGAGGCAGAGAGGAGGAAAGAAAGTTACGCGTGAAAAAAGGGGGAATAGTTGCGCGGAGGGTGGGAGGGAGGGAAAGATCGCAACGGTAGAATGGGGCAACATATCAGAACGACTATCTATCGCTGCCTTTTACGCTAATTGATAAATCGTGTTACGTTAATGAATGGGGCTGGCGTAGCGGCCCCGTAGCGGTAGGAGAAAGGGGGCTCGATATATAGTCGCGGAGGTAGAACTGTGCTCGTAAGGATAACGAGGAAATTGAAAATCTTACGGTTGCGCAGAGACCTTGAAGGATCTTTTCGCGAGATTTCAAGATATTGTCCATTCGTTCGCTCAAAAATATTCCCGCTCTCTTAATCTGGCAGGACCAAGTCCGCAAAATCCAATGCAACCCGGTGGATTATTTAGTCGTCGATTATTTTGCGCCACCAAAAATGCATTTGCATCTCGAACCGTCTAACAAAAAATCGTGACGCCGCTAACTTAATATAAAGTTAGCGAGGACCCAAGTTTTTCTCTTTAAAAGCTTGAAGAAAAATTTAAAAACGTTGTTGCGGTAACGTGATAAGTTAATTAAAAAAACGCGCTTTTATTTTGAACAATATAAAATTTACTTTAAAGTATGTGCCTATACGATTGGTTGTTTAAATAAATATATACGTACATGCGTATAACTGATATAAATTACATTTAGAAACAATACATTTTTAAAACAATATTAATAAAATGTAGATTATGAGCTCAGGTTGGCGCTATCGATCGCATCATCGATATCAATAATTTTTTCAAATTTTTTCAAGAGAAAAGTTTAATTAAATTTTATTTAAAAAGACTTTCAAGTTACTACTTTAATATCAAATTGATTTTACATATATATTCTCTAATTGCATTTTTCGACAGTAAAAATAAATGTTATACATTTTTGATATGTTTTTTAAATAAGAGTATAATTTACAACACAAAAACATGTTATATTCTTTACTGTGAAGTACTATAAAACAGTTTATTAGTTTACTTTTTAAACAGAGCTTTTTAAAAAAAGACGGACAAAAGTTTTAAAAAATAATTCATAATTCCATGAAAAACATTATTGGACATTAAATCATGAAATTTTATTAATCATTAAACATCGAATACGAGCGTCGTTTTTCAAGTACGTACTACTAATTGAATTCACTTCTATTTTCCGTTTTTTTGACACTTTTAATTTGCTAGTTTCACATTAAGTTAGCAAGACCACGACTTGTCCTTAAATGGCACGAGGCACAAAGTTATTTTTGATGGCACAAACTGGTACCAAATAAACACTAAATAATTCACTGGATCGTATTCGATTTGCTGATTTGGTCCTGCCAATTTAAAAGAGCAAAAATACTTAATCCAATACCGAAAATACATGGAGTTTCGTCGCTCTAGTAGTCTAGTGCAATCTAGTACATTTATTTGCGGTGAAACAATTTTGTGTCTCGGGAAGAAACGTAATTTTAATGAATTTCCAATCATATAACCTCATTCGATGGCGAGGAATCGCGCGGAAATAAAAATATCAGACGGCGATTCGGCAGTAGAGGGAGACAGAGAGGGAGAGAAAGAAAGAAAAAAAAGGGGGGGAAAGAGCCAAGATGATTTATCAATTCGATTAAAGCTTATAAGGAGCGTACCGTCCGTTTAATCTTGATCGCGCGGGCGCACATTTTTATATACTGCGTCGTATCACGCGAGGCTGACTGTTGTTCGCGCGCCGCGGATTACATCCTATTACGGGATTTATACTGGCAAAACTGTTTCCTCGAGTCGCGCCCGCGCCGCGATCGGTTTCGTCGCGCGCGCACACGGCCGTAAAATCGAGAGAAATCTGCCCGCTGGTTTATTGCTGCGCCGCGATGGCATGACTGACGCATAAAGTGGTACATTAGCCTAATTGGCCCAATAAGCCGAAAGATAATAATCCTACTTATGATTTTAATGGCGGCGGCGCAGCCCGTACGCCCAAAATCGCGCCAGTCATTAAACCTTGCGGCAATTATTTCCCGTTATTATTACAATGTGATACAGAGAAGCCGAGGCGTCATTTCGATGGCGATAAATCGTATCAGACAACCCTGTCGTCGATCGAAATTGCACGTAACGTTGAAGAACAAAAATGTCCCACCGCGAGCTTACCTATCGTTCCGGAAAAGAAACACTAAATGTTACATAAACATTAATATTGGTCTATTTTTCCGGCTTTTCAAACTATTTCAAGATGTCAAATTTAACCCACCTTCCTCATACGTTTCTTACGTTCGAGCATTTATTACACCGACCGAGTTTTGTCCACAACCGCTTTCTACTCGGAACTACTCTATCCTTCATTTGTTATTGCCGACTATTACGTTGTATTGTATTTTATTATTTTCATGATTATGTTAATTGCGCTTACGACGAACCCGAAGAAGGTGTTCGAAACGTTCGCATTTCTTAATAAATTTCTAGAATAAATTTTCCCCCCATCTTACACAAAGATGGCACCACGATACTCGACAAGAGACTACCATTTTATTCTAGATTTTAGAATTTTTCACCTAAGATTAAAATATCCCTTTCTCTAGAATAATCGGTCTTATTTTATGATACATTAAAGTGTAATAGCGTTGGATCTGGAAAACCTTTCTGTGGGTGCGCGTACGTCTTACTTGACTCCAACGGTCTTCTCATTCATTATTAAATATTACGTTAAACATTACATAATATCTAGGTGGCGTAACACCTACCGGTATAAGAAGGAATGCCCTGGATTATCGCATTGAACGAATCAAGTGGGTAGAGGAGGGCGAGCGATCGCGTTCCGCGAACGCGGCCACGCCGAATCCATTCGTCAAGCGGCGTAGCACCGCACGTCTGTACGCAGCAGGGGAGAGTTAACGCGCAGCAAGGGCGCTGCCCCCTGAACCTGGAGGGATTCCTCAACGCGTACGCGAACGGATCGTCCTCGATTAGAACTTCCATTGGCCGCGACGATCGGTCCACCGTTCGTCGCGTTATCGCCCGCGTCCGAAACAAGCGCGCGAAACGGCGATCGATTCGCCGATCGGGCCGGATGTTCCCGGAGGCGCGGGGATCCCCCGGCTCGCGTTGCGGACGCGGAGAAGAAAGACAGGCCGGACACGCGGACTCCCAGATTCCCTTATCGCGCCATCGCGGACATCGCGATCGAACGGGGAGGGGATTTCTAGCTTTTCCAGTGAGTTACGCGCGTTTTTCTTTACCTTTCCTCACTCCCTTTCTTCCGATCGCGCGGGATCAGATTGCGGACCGCTCGCCGAGATCGCCTGGGGCGCTTGTTCCCCGAACTTAGGGTTAGTTTGCCCTTAACTTCGGCGGAGGGGCGCTCTACCGTCGTATAACCGCGTCTCGACCTTATCTCGCTTTTACGCCCCGTGACAGATAATCGTATCAAGCCTAACTCTTTATCTGCCGCTGCTCGGGCGAGACTGTTCCTGGGGTGGCGATCGGTGTACCGCGATTATGATAACACGGAGCACTGAGCGCGGAAAAGCGCCGGCATTTAAACCTCTTGCACGCCTTTTTTAAGAGCGGGCTGGACTCGAGAGACGCAGCGGCGTCTCGCGAATAAACAGTAATATCTCACCAATAGATTTGATATCGCCAGTAATAAATAAATATTAATAAATAATATAAAACCAATGATGTGTAGTTTTTCAGAAACGACCCACACTGGCCAATGTTTTTATTTAAAAACAAACCACGTTTTCGTCCCGGATTTGGAGCCTTTTCAAGTTCTTTTCACGCAATTGTTACTGGGTCTCGTGTCGTTCGTTTGGCCAATATCGTTATTGGTCAAGAAATCATTGCACTCCTTGGTTGAAGAGTGCGGAGTGGAATAATTGTGCGACCCGAGTAAAAATATCGAGAGATGTATAGTTGTGTCGTGCGAGACGCGAAAGATCAGATTGAACTGATTTTTTTACCAATATCTTATTAACATAACGATATTGGCCAAACGAACAATATGAGACCAATAACAATTGTGTGAAGAGATAACTTGAAGAGGCTCCAAATCCGGGACCGAAACGTCGTTTGTTTTTTAAATACAAACATTGGCCGGTGTGGGTTGTTTCTGAAAAACTACACATCAAATAATAATATGTTGGTCGCTCACCGAAACGGCCGATACGCTGCTCAGTAGAAGCTGCATCCCTCTGCTCAGTAGAAGCTGCATCCCTCTGCATGTCACTGAAAGTAGAAAACAAGAATCTCTTTAAAACGTGAATCTACGCTGCGACGATTCAATTAGCGTGTATTTTGCAGAAAAAAAATATCACGTTCCCGATTCTTTTTCTCTCGCGTCACTTTCGAAGGTTCTAAAACGGGAAGCAATTATGCCAAGTGACCGAGCGATAAGTCGCGCGTAAAGAGGAAGTTACCTTTTGCCATGTGCCGGTTGCCGCTTCCCTCGCTGCTTCCTCCGGGCTGTTCCTTACTCGCGCACGCGCGACCACGCGACTGGACGGAACTTCCGGCAAGTTTACCTTGGCGATCGCGCACTCCTGAATGCTCGCATCCGCGACGCACTCGCGAGCAGTGGAGCATCCAGATTGGTTCGCTCCAAGAATCTCGCTCGCGAATACATATTCGCCGACACGAGACTACTCTCTCCACGTACGCTCGCGGTATGCGCGCGTGTCGCACAGCCGTGCTCTACGGTCGCACGGAGTGCACTTGACGGAACAGTCGAGCGTCCACATTGTCGCTGTGCTACATCTCCGTTGTACGTGTACCCGAAGCTGGCGCAAAGTTAACGCACAAAGTTCGATCGATTGGGTCCATTAATCGGCACCTGCTCGTTCGCGTTGACGATTGTACAAGCGAGACGCAACGACCGCCCATCCTCGTTGTCCGACTTCTTCGACTGGTCACGCTCGCGACGCACTTCGGACCAGCGGACTGAAAAGCAGAAAAATTGTCACACAAGCGTTTATGATTCCGCAGCGATGCCCGTTTCTACCAATGCTGATTAACTTTAATCTCGGCTTAAATTACTTCTTGTCCTTCCACAATTCGTAAAACTAAAGGAAGATACAAAGCAAGTTAAACCGAGACTGCGTTGGTAGAAACGGGTACAATGCAGATTAACTTCAATTTCAGCTTAAATTACTTGTTGTCCTTCTCCAATTCGTAAAATTAGAGAAAGATGGTGGAAACGGGTACAAGACGCGAGTCGACGCACGAAGAATTGTCGTAGACGCACGTCGCGTCCATCGCATCGAGAGGCTGCTCTCGGGGGCTCGATTCTTGAATTTAGTCGACAGAGAAACGTATGCGAAAGTTCTGCCGACCGAAAAGCTGAGAGTCGACCGGTTAAAAGCCACGCGAATAGCCCAAACCTTCAAGCGTCCGCGGATCGTCCTCCGCCTCCTCCGCCATTGGCCGCACATTACCCGTCGACCATTTCTACGGCACCCACTACTCCACCGGTTACATTCGCGACGCACTTCGGAGCGAAGGGAAATTAAAAAAGGCGAGACGAGACGCGTGCAAAGATGGCGGCGCGTCGATTCGTATGCGACGCCCGAGCAACGCACGCGGCTCCGTACATGCACCGTACATGCATTTTGTATATTCTCTACGTGCCAATGCGCCGCGCAATACCGCGGCGACTCTCGAGACGCCCGAAAAGACACTCGCACGGCGCGTCGATTTGTCCGGCCGGTCACGCTCGCGACGCACTTTGCGGCAAAATGGAACAAAAGGACGCGCGACGCGGTACCGAATATCTCAGAGGCGTCATCGCGTAGCGTGGCCGGTGCCGCCGCGACGAGATGACCGGAGGGTCGTCTCCTCTGCCACTCGGCGATCACTTACACTCGCGATATACATACCTCGGGGCGAGCCGGAGAAACGCGCGACGTACTTACGGAGATATGGCTCCTGCCCACTGGACGCGGTAACGTTGCCGGCGCTCTCGTGCGCTCGGATGTGGATTGGCTAGTGCTGGTTTCCCTAGCCAAGTTCCGCCGTGCGGCAACGTTACCGCGTCCAGTGGGCAGGAGCCAATATTTCGACGCGTCTCGTACGATCCGACGCGGCGGAAGAGTCAATGACGAGTGTCTCCCAATCTCCCAAGCGACTCGCCAAGCGACGCCACCAACCGTCCGGTGAAAAGCGCGCAAAAAGACGGAAATAACGTGACGTCACCAGGTTTTGGGACCGCGCGGGAAACTGCGCGGAAAATGGCACGCCATCTCTCGGCCCCGAGGCGCAATCACGTGATTACCTTCACTCCTGGTCCACGATCTTGCTTTAAGTAAGCTGTGAGCCTTAAGCCGTAAGAAATTAACCAATCACAGGCATCTATTCCCCTCGCTCTCACTTGTAATGGTTAATTTCTTGCAGCTTACTTAAAGCAAGATTGTGGACTAGGGGTTCCCGATGCGTCTCGATGCATACGCAACAGAGATGGGCGCCCACGTAGGCCGGTATTCATAGTCGATTCTTATTTCAATATCATCTTAAGTGTTGTCTTAAGACGCTAATGTGTCGAGCCCCGTTATCTAAGCTTAAACACTACCGTATTCATGCGTCTATTTTTCGTAACTGAACGATGCTACAACACCGACTGCCGCGAACAAAGTAGGCACGTTAGTAAACATCGGAGAGGGGGGGAAGGCGGAAAGACGGCAAGCATTCAGCCACGAAAAACAGACCCCGCGTCCTCACGCTTTTTCTGAGAATTGCGAAAAACAGTGTATAATCACGTGATCACGCGCCGCTCACGTCGTAACTTCACAGCGTTTAGGGCACGGTCTTAAGCCTATCACACAATGCCTGGCAACAGGCAATAGGAATAGAGAATAGAATTTTTGACGCGTTGGATTCGTCGGAAATTTTCTTCCAACCAATCCAACGCGTCAGAAATTCTATTCCCTGTTCCTATTGCCTGTGCTTTTCTATTGTGTGATAGGCTTAAGACTGTGGTTTAGGGCAACTTTGATATATCATATATGAACTATATATGATATATTGAACTATATAACCTACTGGAAGGAGCACACTCTCTCTCTCTCTCTCTGCCTACCCCCTCCATAGGATCGAGCGGTCAGAGAGAGATAGTTGAGTTGCGATCGTGTTATCTCTTTTTAACGTCAACTACCGTGATCGCTGTAATTAGTTAAACAAGAATAGCACGGTCGCCACTCTTCCGTAAGGAAGTAAAACGTAAGCGTAAGAAAATCAACAGATTGGATTTGCTACTGCTTGCGTTATTGCCTTACGTTCTCGACTGTGATTGGTCGATTTTCTTATGTTCACGTTTTACGTCCTTACGGAATTTTATGTGTGAAGGCCTTTATAGTTCAATGGTGCGATATGCTGTGGACTGCGTTCGCGAATATTTTCCGAGTTGTCTCAGTGAAATTTTATCCTTGTAAGTGCCCATCTACAATAGAGATTTAAACCACAACCTGCGAGAGGTCGCAGAGTCGTAGTCGTAAGAATAATCGACTATGATTGGTCAATTCTTATGTGTCTAACGGAATTGACCAATCGCAGTCGATTATTCTTACGACTACGACTCTGCGATTCGCATTGTAGACCCCGTATAAAGGCCATTCTACAACTACGTTTATGCAATTGTAGAATGGCCTTTAGACATTGACTAATCACAGTCGCGTATTCTACTCATACTTGATCGCGACTGGTTAATTTCGTAAAGCTTATAGTTTAAAGCTCTATTGTAGACGGGCACTAAAGGCTGGTTTATGCAAGGCCGTAAGTCCCAATCTACAATAGAGATTTAAGCCCTAAGCCTTAAGAAATTGACTAATCACAGTCGCGCATTCTACTCATACTTGACCGTGATTGGCCAATTTCTTAAAGCTTAGGGCTTAAATCATCTATTGTAGACTGGGACTAACTGTTAAATTATATCAGAATCGGTAAAAATTGTCCAATCACCGTTAAAAGTGAAGAGAACAGTTGACTGTAATTACTCAATTTTCACCGATTCCGGCATAAGTTAACACGGCCTTGCATCGAATGTTAAATACGTATGAAATAATGCGCGGAGACACTCGGGTACTGTTTACAAACGAAGTTTACCTTAGGCGCGTAGTGTTTACGTATCGGGAGGCAGTTTTTTTGCGCCGTGAGTGTCGAATCTAGAATATCGGTTATCGCGGATCCGTAGTTGTTTCTCGACGCGCGTCGCGGACGCCCACGGAGCTCCGTTGCTCCGTTCCGTCGAGTGTATCGCGTCGTTTGATCATCTTCACGTTCGATCGTGTACCACGAGTGCGTTAAGAAGCCATCGGCTGAGACGCGGCATCGCCATTGATCTGTCGATCGAGGTCCCCGCGATGGACGAGCGACAACGTCCGTTTGGATTTACGCCACTCGGAGGTAACAGTTTGGTCCGCCATATTTGTAGGCAACTTAAATGTGTCTTCCGCGTCACGAGTGTCGAATCTAGAATATCGTTCATCGTGGATCCGTAGCGTTTCTCGTCGCGCGTCGCGGACACCCACGGAGCTCCGTCGCTCCGTTCCGTCGAGTGTATCGCGTCGTTTGATCATCTTCACGTTCGATCGTGTACCACGAGTGCGTTAAGAAGCCATCGGCTGAGACGCGGCATCGCCATTGACCTGTCGATCGAGGTCCTCGCGACGGATGAGCGACAACGTTCGGATTTACGCCACTCGGAGGTAACAGTTTGGTCCGCCATATTTGTTGGCTGCTAAAATGAGTCTTTCGCGTCACGAGTGTCGAATCTAGAATATCGTTCATCGTGGATCCGTAGCGTTTCTCGTCGCGCGTCGCGGACGCCCACGAAGCTCCGTCGCTCCGTTCCCTCGGAGTGTATCGCGTTTTGTCATTCTCACGTTCAATCGTGCATCACGAGTGCGTGAAGAAGCCATCGGCTTAGACGCGGCATCGCCATTGACCTGTCGACCGAGGTATCCGCGAAGGAACGAGCCGACAACGTTCGTTCGCGTTTACGACATTCGGGGCAAAGGCTCGTCTACGACAAGGCGCGAGGGGCGAGAGCGCCTACGTGAGTGAACGTTTAAGAACATTATCGGTGGTGCAATTGTTATATTCGTCGCGACTGAAGTAACAATCTCGGGACTTTCGGCGGACCAAAAGTGCGTCGATTTTCTGGACATTTCTGGATCGCTTATGGAGTGTCGGAGTATTGGCCGGACCAACATATTGGCCGCACTGCTCAGTGAGTAAATCTACACAAACAATTTGCGCTAGCGACGAGGACGTCCTCCTCTTCGCGACCAGCCGAGCGATTCTCTTTTCGTTGCCCGACCGCAATGTTGTACGTCATATTTCTCTATTGCGCGAACAGTAATGGCTCTTTATGGGAAAACTGTATGCTTTCCCATGAGACCTGTACGCTCATTGGATAATCGCGCGTCGCGTTGTCGCGCCGGTCCGCTGGAGCCATAAAGGCCTGCGTCCACGATGCCAGGTGGTCAATTCTGTATCTTACACTATAGCGAAAATGCCTTATTCTACCCGTCCCTTTAAAAAGAGACCAAGCCGCTCACTTTTAGCATTTTCACTGTATCGTAGGATACAGAATTGACCTCCGGAGCTTTGTCCAAGTTCTACTTTCGAGAAATGTGTAGCCAATCAACTTGCAGCCATTCCATAAAGCCTTGTGTCCACGATCCAAAAACTGCAGTGTCCAAGTTCTTGGATCGTGGACACAAGGCTTAACAGAGATAACATGGGTTCTTCGTTTCGAACGGGATTGGTGCTCGCAAAAACACAGCCGCGTGAGATTGCGCTAAGGCCTTGTGTCCACGATCCAAGAGCTGCGTCCAAGTTGTAGTTCCAAGAAATGCGTAGCCAATCAACTTGCAGCTTTTCCATAAAAGACACAGGTTGACTGGTTGCGCATTTCTTGGAACTAGAACCGGGACGCAGTTCTTGAATCGTGGACACAAGGCTTCAAGCAAATCCGCGCGACATAATGAAACCGAAGGGTTGCGTCCCTCCTGTATATCAGTCCGTGCTTTTAATTTGTACACGAGCGACTCCGCGAAGGCGAGGGTACCCGCGAATCGGGCGAATCGGGCCGAGAACGGCGGGGTCCGGGCCCGGTCGGGCCCGGCGGCCTTGGATGCCCACGGGCTGCACGTAGGACAGACAGACAGACAGACGTACGGCCGGAGGAGACTGGACCGCTAACAGAGAGGCTGTATGGCGTCTCTGATTGCCCATTGTCCGACTAATAAGATATTCTATCATCTCTCGTCGTGCCGACGGTGTCCGGCCGTCTCGTGAGAGAGCGAGCGCAAGCGCGCGCGGGGCCCGTCCAATCGGCGACGGGGCTCATCGGGGCCCGGCCAATGGCGCCGCCGCGGCTCCGTCCCGGCCACCCCGGGCCCCCCTTTGTCGGGGCAAATGAGCTCGGCGTAAGTCAACCGATAAATAATATCCGACTTCGCGACCAGCTGCGAGCCTTAATGCGGGCCCATGTAAAAGTGTAATAGGGGCTTAATTGAACCCAGCCGGGACATCCGTCGGATCAACGCGCGCAAGCGCGCAGGTATAAGTAGCGCGGTCTATATTTGTGTTCGAGCGGGACTTTTCTTGACGAAATCTCGGCCTGGCGCGATAATTAGCGTAACGTCTCACGACCAGCCGAGAGAGAGAGAGATACGCGCCGAAATATTGTCCCTTCCGTTATCTCGGGGCCCCGCGATTACCGGTATCGGTGAACAAGTTGACGGAAGCTCTCGTCGCGCGATAATTTATCGAGTGTCTAAGCGCGACGTCGAGCGTCGAGGGCATTGTGACAGATGGTTTCTCTCCTGAGATCTTATTCCACGCTATATTCAAGCGGGAATGACTAACGACGATGACGATCTCTCTCTCACGGAGTCTTTCAGTGCCCGCTCCCGGCTCCGGGCTGGCGATCGTTGCTCTCCTTCGCGTTTCCATTTCAAGTCGCTCCGGTCTATTCGACTTACGCGCGGCGTAACGATCGGTCAGCGCGAAATAAATGCAAATTTCTCTGGCAACCGTCTGCACGCGTGTCCTAATCGCGTCCGAGATCGACCGTGCTTTTCACCGCCGCGGTCCCATTTCTCAGCGTTCTTACGCAGACCGGGGTGGGGGGGGGTGGGGGGTGGGCATCAATCTAATCCATTATCCGCGTTTCCGCGGAGCATCAAAAAATGAAGGCTTCGGTCGTTGGCTCGCGCGGGAGGTCGGGACGCTACGCGAATCTCTCTCCGGGAATCTTGCCGTGGATTCCCGCAGCGATCTGCGCAACGTAGCCGCCAGGTCGACTCTCCCCCTCGGAGCCCCGGCGTCTCGATTTGTCACATTAACAAAGTGAACCCGTCCCCGAATCGAAAGCCATTTCCTCCCGCCCGTTCCGGGGCTCGTCCGCAGAAAATCCCGCTCGCTCGCCTGGCGGTAGGAAGAGTTGCCACGCTTATCCGAGGAAAAACTCACTCGAGCTGCGGATTCGGGGCGTAAAGGCGGAGGAGAAAGAAAGGACCGAATCGACGAAACGTCGAATTGAGTACCGCCCTAATCGTGTCGAGATCTCGTCCTATGGTGTGACGCGCGCGCGAGTATATGGCGTACTTAGCGGAAAGCGGCAGAGAGAGAGAGAGAGAGAGAGAGAGAGAGAGACGACCGAGGGACGTCCGGAGTGAATGAGAATCATGATGGTGGCGGGCGAGAAGGGTAGAGGAGGCCGAGGAGGGGCCAGGAGGGGGAGGACTGCTGACGGTGGTCGAGAGAGTCGATCGAGCGTGGGTTGCGGGGCAGGCTAATGCGAATATGCTGTCGTCCAGATAGAAAGAGATACCCGATAGCGAA